CCCGCCCCTGTTGCGTTCTTTATCAATCCAGCCTTTTCTCCGCAACTGAACCCACGGACAACCCAGCTAAGTCCTGTACCATGCCAGTGAAAGAAATGCTATTGTACTCACTTTAAGATAACGGCTTTCATACTTTGAATTTCGATTTTCTCCGCTTTTATCAACTTTGACTTATTATCTGTTGTTGTTGTTGTTGTTGTTGTTGTTGTTGTTGTTGTTGTTGTTGTTGTTGTTTTACACTGCGCTGGAGTCTTCATAGTATTTATTTTTTCAAACAGCATTTTTGGCAAATGACGGTACACATTCTGGGCAATGTTTCCCTTATGACATCTTTTGAGTGGACAGGTACATCAAAGAAACAGTAATTTTTTATTTGAATTTGTACTCAAACTCAACTTCAAGATTCAGTTGAGAAAAATGTCCAAGAAAGCGATATCATGTCATGCTTTAGACTGACTATAATAATCTGTTTTAGAATCCGCCACGTGTTAGATATTATCTAAATACATCATGTAGATCTCATATCTAGGCCTACAGAAATACAGAACAGACAGAACAAAACAGACAGAACAAAACAGACAGTCAGACAGACAGACAGACAGACAGACAGACAGACAGACAGACAGACAGACAGACAGACAGACAGACAGACAGACAGACAGACAGACAGACAGAATTTATATAGAAGGGAAGACAGAAAACATAACACACATTGTACATACATGTATAAAAATAAGCATACCTTTAGGCAGGCTACGAACGTAAAAAGAGAGACAATGAGGAGGAAATGGAGGGGGGGGGGGGGAGTGGAGAGACAAGAAGAAGAAGTGGCAGGATTAAAACAAAGCAGAGAGAATGAAACCCACCGTGTGGTCAAAGAAACACTGCTAGACTCCAATCGCAGATCAAGTGTAATTTGGAAAGACAGACATGTCTTATAATAATTACAGGAAAAAAAAAGGCAATCATTTTCAAGGGAAAGAGCCATTAAAATAAGCCAGGAAAATAGTTTTGCATCGATTACCTCCCTTTATATCATACCCTGGCCTGTTTGTGACAAGCTTTTGGGATATCTCAACATTAAATTTTATTGTGATAAACCAAAAACCTCTGATAAAATATACTTATGCAATATCATTTCAGTTATGATATATGAATCATATATCCAAGAGTTCCATTCTCACGTTTTCCTGTTTTTGGATTTAGGTATTTATCAATGTCGCTTGAGATCGGAGGTTGTTTAAATAGAATAGATGGAATATAGAACTGTTCTTTGCTGTACTGAACTGATTCCGGTTTCTAAAAAAATATAGTTACCAACCTGAGCTGCAAGGGATGAAACGTCCCATACGAAGAGAGACCCCAAGTTTCGGCGTGCGATAAAGAAGAATAAATTTCTAATGCCCGCAAATATGAGAGGTGATGGTAGTAGCCTAGTGGTGGTTGTAGCTTGTGTGTGTGTGTGTGTGTGTGTGTGTGTGTGTGTGTGTGTGTGTGAGTTATAAATTTCTCGACAATTACAATCTAGAATCTAGATCTAGATCTAGATATCTAGATTAGATCTACAGGAAAAAATGTTGAATGTTGAATAATTTTTTTTTCAGGCGTTAAGGGGAGGGAAGAAAAACCAAATCAGTGCATGTCAATAATACATTGTACACGTATTTACAAAATAGTATATTATCATACATCCCGAAGAAGAAGAAGTAATGTACCTTACAAGAAAAAAAAGACTAATTATATCAAATTATTTCCCTTGACAACGGTTGTCCTGTAGCGATGGATAGGGGAAGCAACTCTTTAAAATATTTGTCTAACATATCAATCGATCTTATTTCTTCAATATATTGTATACTTCTTTTTCAACGTCTTAACTTTAGGAGAAATGTGATGCTTTTCTGTTAATATAAAATTCGTCTGTTTTAAAGGTTATGCTGAATTTTTAATGAAGTTCAACGATTTTCTAAAAATGTCCTTAATAACCAAAATTTAACCCGTACCACATCCAGGTGGGTATATAAAATGACTATAACCTCCGTCTCTCGTACTGTTCACGCAGTACATATACTAAAATTGGAACGATACAGAGAAGATTAGCATGGCCCCTGCGCAAGGATGACACGCAAATTCGTGAAGCGTTCCATATTTTTTTTTACTTGTGTCTGAGATCAGCTTATTATGTTGACGTTCGGATGGTAACCTGGTGCTGATTC